AAATCAACAGTGTTATAGGGGGGGTCGACTTGTAATCATTATCAATGAATTTCTATAAGATATATTTATAAAAATTTATCTTTTCATTGGCTAACAAAATTCAAGTTATTCTCAAAATATAATTTTTATTTGAATAGGAAGAGAAAATATCCTCAGAAAATGGAATGAATAGAAAATTTTTTGACGAGAGAACACATGTTCATTGGAACTTCCAATAAATCTCCCGAGGAAGGTTTCTGTCAATATATTGATACGTAGCCAACGTGTTCTGATTATTACTGTAACGGCATCAACTAAAATTCTGTATAATTTCGTATATTAAAAAAAATTTCGATTTTATTCGCGACTATTTTAAATATTTCCCGACGTGTTAAAGCTTAATTAGTTGCCTTTATCGATTTATTTACGCTCGAGTATTTTTTTTTTCCGCTAGATTTTATGTTTATTTTATAAACAAAAAAAATATATATATATATATTTGATAATAGAGCAAGCAGTTGGATTGTTTAGTATATTCGAGTTCTAGTGAAGTGGTTCGGCCAGAACGCTCGTATCCGGAGTGTACCCGTAGCTATAGCAACAGAACACAACATCAGACGTCCCACCCTTGACCTTGAACCTGGGACGCGCGCAGTTGCCTCCTCCACCCCTACACCGTGACGTCATCTAGTACATAGCGTGTTGTCTGAGATCCGGCTGGCAACCAATTGCATCGAACTAAGCCAATACATCCGAACTGTTTCGGATCGAAGCGTCATAAATTCTTATTACTCGTATATTTTTATTATCGATTATTTTTTTTTTGTTTTGTTTTGTTTTGCCTGTTTGTATCTCTAGAAATCTTCGTATCTGGAAAGATGCGGGCCGCTTTTATCAGTGATTTTAATGAAAGCAAAAAAAAAAAAAGGAGGAGAGGTCGGTTTAAGTGAGTCACGCGTACGTGCAGTCTAGACAACCATCAAGGACAATCCAAAAAAGGGGCATGAACTCGGGCCAATAAACTCACCTCTTTAAACACGTGATTTCGATCGAAGTATTCAAAAATCTGTGCAAAAATACCTTTACCCAGTTCTTCGCATTTTGCCTGTGGCCCAGTCATTAAAATATTGCTCCAGCGCAGTTTGAATTTTTTTTTTTTTCCTTCTTCTTTCCTTTTCTTTTTTTTTTGCTTGACTTCAAAATGACTTATAGTAGATGAGACCTGTTAATCCAGTTTTCAGCGAAAGGGAGGGTGAAATTTCACGTTCGCGCTCAACAACTGCTGAGACCTTTCACGCTTCGTGATTGTTGCTCTACTTTTGTCTGTCTGCAAAATCAGACGACGCAGCCAGCATTCTACTACATACAGAATGCTAAATCCTAATGCACTCCTAACCGGGACATATATTTAAAGATGACAACGGAAGAAGCATTTCTTCACAAACGAGATTAAACCAAAAATCACACACACCCAGTTCAACAATCGCACCGAAAATTCCGTCACAAATGAAAATTCTCTAAAGAAGTTCGCTCGATTATCAGTCGAACCCCCCCCATAACACTGTTGATTTTTCTGTTTTATATGAATTCCATGTTGTACGAGTCACTTAGATTTTACAAATACCTGTTAATCC